ATATATATATATTTGGCAATTTGGAAACACACGTATCATTTTCTCTCAAAATTTATTGCTCCATTTCAGTAGAGTGTAAATATAGTAGACCAATGATATTCAGTGGATGTTAATGCACCGACCATTCCTTTCATCGAAAGGGGGCCCAGCTTGTATATAATACATGTATTTGTATATAATAATATATGTGCATACATCTGGACTTGCGTCACGTTTTTTCTTGTTGTTTTTGTTTGTTTTGTTTTGTTTTTTAGTAAGTGTTTTGCGGCGCTCGAAACTGCATAATGTCGTATGAGCTCGCGGGACACATTAAATATTTTCATTTGGTAGGAATTTTGAATTTTGTCCGGGTGGCCGCCGAAGCCTACTCTTATCGATCTTTAAACAAATCCTCCGAGATTTTTCGCCCTTGTCCGAGAAAGCTAGGAGCAGATCTTTTCTACTAGAAGATCAGGGGTGTGGCTGAAACACAGCAGTAAGATGGGGCCAAGGAGTAGTAGTAGAAAGGCTGTAGAAAGAGTCAGAAGCCCTAAGGAGAGGGTAAAGGGGATGAGAGGGTGAGCGCAGAAAGTGGAGAGGAAAGCAGACAATAGAACATTGCTAGAGAGCAGGAAAGGAGGCGAAAGGAGACAGTTCTAGAAAAGAAAAATGTTCAGTCGCTTCCAGAATTCGAACCCGGGGCATTTGAATGAGAGACGAACACCTTAATCTCTAGGCCACGAGAGCCCCCGCGTCACCTTCTTTCTTCCCCTCGATAAGAGTTTATAAACAGATAAGACTATAATCTTGAAAGTTGCAAGCTGGAACCATCTTTAATGTCACCGTGAAGTTCCGAAATGGTGGGCTCAGTCTCTGCTAAGACGACCTTGTTAGTATTAGCCTATTCCAGTGGGCCAAGACAAGTGAAGAGAGGACCTAAGTAGGTAGACAGTCCAGCGGCAGGTATGTTGGGGGTTTCATAAGCGGGTTGTAGGCAGCAGTTTGACAACCTTTAGCAGGTTGTAGATTTAATAAAGGAAAAGCGATCAGAGGCAGACCAAAGAAGAGTTGGGAGGACAACATCAAGGAATGGACAGGCCTGGAACTCGAAGACACGCTCTGAAAAGCTGGAGACCGGAAGGAGTAGAGGAAACTGATGGCTAAATCTTCAAAAGCGCCCCAAGATACATCCAGTCTATGGGATAGGTGATGGTGAAGGTGAAGACTTAATAAAAATCCAGTAGTCATATTTTACTCTCTAATCTTTTATCCCAGTTATTCCTTTCGGAGATTCCGACACAAGATCCTCAGACCCGGGTCGAGAGGAAACACTTTACACGCAATATTGTATCCCCTTGACTCAGGGGGAGCAAGGTCCCTTCAGATTGTATTTCATGTAAATAGCAGACAGTATTGATTTTAATTGCATGGGCATTTAAAGATTTTTTTTTATTTTTTTTTTTGGGGGGGGGGGCAGTTTCTTCTCGTACAAAGCTCGACAAAAGCAAGAGATTCTACCGAGAGTCACGCCATGCTCTATTAACGTATTGATTTCTACAACACTAAAAGGTATACAGTTCCTGGCTTTTTTGTGGGGCTTTGGAAGCAAGCAAGCAGCCGTCTGAAAAGTCTTTAAATTCAGAGATCCGATACTTCCTCATAGTACTCGTATTTCAGGTCATTGGAGTGCAGCCACGCGTGATGAACAAATTCGTGACCGATATCCCAAAAGAAAAAAAAAGGGACAAAAATTCAATACCGGGCCAAACACCCCGCCGCCCTAATTGTGAATAACGGGGCATTGAGCGTATGTCTAAGATCGAACCTTCTTTTATGGATATGTCTCTTAGGTGGAAAATCTTAATCCCTGACTTTAGTTCACCCTGCCCCACTTTTTACACCACATGGTGCCCGTCTTGACACTAATCTCTTCTGCCATACCGGGATCATTTGTGTCTTGGTGTGGATTTTAGGTGACATTCTAGCGATTTTGCTATAATATAAGCATGATTTAACACCTAGAGTGGCGTTGTTGAAATTGACATAGAAATAGCGGGTATTAGTGTGTGTGTGTGTGTGTGTGTGTGTGTGTGTGTGTGTGTGTGTGTGTGTTTGTGTGTGTGAGAATGTGTGTGTGTGTGAGTGTGAGTGTGTACGTGGGTGTGTGAATTTTTAAAGTAAATGAATATGGCGAAACGGAGGGTGCGATGGAGTTGGAACTTGTACATATCCAAGGGAACTTTGAAAACACAAAAATTCAGTCTCTAAAGCAATCTGTACCAAACACAACACGTTGAAGGGTCATTTTTTTTGTGTGTATGCCCTTATATCGTATTTTTAAGTCACAAGAGGAGTTGGTTATATTTTAATTTGAATTTGACGAAATAGATGGTTGACCAATGAAAATCGGACAGTCACAATTATAACGGGGGAAATAAATAACTTGCCCATACGGCATACGGTACCACAGCGGACACTGACTCTTGAAAAGCAGTATTCTTTTCTAAAGACGTTCGTTGCGTTTGTACACGATCATTTTGGAAAGAGTTTTTAAGACAGTGAATGTTTTGAAACGTAGGCTATGTATGC